CCATCGCTAGTAGGTTGGAGGCCATCGCTAGTAGGTTGGAGGCCATCACTAGTAGGTCGGAGGCCATCACTAGTAGGTTGGGGGCTAGTAGGATTTTTCTTAAGGATTCATCAGATTTCATTGTGATCAAATGGGTCTTGAAGTCCAAACCACAAGAGGGGAACGAATGCGGTATCCATGACAGTGACGCTGGTTTTGAATCATTTATGGAAGGACATGGAGTCTGGATCCATTGGGGGTGAATTAGCGCGATCAGGACGGCTATCGTGTGCTTACTTTATGACTTGACTGAACCAAACAGCATGACTCATCCACGTCTTCCTATAATAGAGTGCACTCTGAATACAATTTGCATTGCTATTTTCACTGTTCATCGCTTTTCGTAGAGCCTGTTGGCCAGGTCCACGATTCAATCGTCAATCACAGCATTGCTCCTCTGCTCTTTCGAGCTGATCATGGCCCACGCTTTTCCTGAGCCTCCCAGCATTCGAACCCCTCGGAAGCCCTGGCGCAAACGAGCTGATGGATCCAACGGTTCCCTAGCTGTGTCCAAGAATACCAATCTAAAAGAAATATCAGACGCATTAGAGAGAGACCACCCATGGTTACCTTAGCTTCAAACAGCCATGGACCTGGAACAAGAACGCCGAAGACAGAACATCTATTTCCGGACCTGGACTTGTTCGATTTTTAGAGCGGAGGATGGGGATGTGATCCAAGACGGAGGCCAAGGAAACACCGTTTTCTTGAATGCAGCATTGCAGCATTGCCCAGTAAACAAAGCTCCCACCAATCCGGTCAAGAGAAGTTGGACCCGTGTTCAACAAACATGGACATCTCAATCTCAAGATACCAGGTAGCCGCAGGTGTAGCCGCAGGTAGCTAGGCGGTCTTGGCTCCCAATATCTCTTAAGATTCCTAAGTTTCTCTCTTTATTTTGATGGACTCCGAAACGCAGGCCGCAAGCTACTTGCTTGAGCTGTGGGTGACCCAAAGGAATACAATGTGGAAGGTTCATAGGCCCACAGGTTGTTCAATGATCTTCAATGTCTGTTGAAAACCTTTCATGACCAGAATTTCAACAGGTGTGCAGGTCACAGGTATGGCAAGTATGGCAGGTATGGCAATCACCTAGGCCGGCACGATCAGCAGGCGCACATCCTGCACGCGGGTGCACTCGCGGGTGCGTGGCATCGGTGCCTGGATGTACTTCCACGTGGCGCTCTCGTGGAGGAAAGGCGCAAGCTTCGCCAACCTTCCCAGCCTCGCCAACCTCACCAACCAACGAACGGAAGACCGGGATCGACGAACGGAAGACCGGTGGCTGCTGTTGTTCGGTGGGTTCGGGATAGCTACTTGGCTCTTGAATTAGAGGTTGCCAGAAGCAAAAAAAAGATCAAACTTATTTCTTGCATGGACCTGGAACTTTGAGAACTGGATCTGGCGGCCATGCGACAGTCACAAGCATGTCACATCAAAACTACCCTTTAGTGGCGCTCATTTTCACACTTCTATTGCCCGCCAAACAACCTCTAGAGTTTGGAGTACTTGAAGATCACTTGAGAGTAACAAGAAGCTACTAGGAACAAAGGGCATCGCTACTAGGAGCAAGAAGCTACTAGTAGCTCCTGGCCATACTTCTGGTAACAAGAAGCTACTAGTAACAAGGGGCTTTCTCATCCTTAGATGCTGGTCCCACCATGACGGAGCCCACGAAAACTGTCTTCCAAGATCGAAAAGCACGCTCCTACGTTGTCTAAGTGACAAGCTTCAATTGCGTTGCCCTTCGAACGATTCGTCCTCTCCGTCCATTCTTGCTTTTCCCCCTGGTCCTTCCTGAAATTGCTCGGAAAAAAGAAACTGATCCGACCTTCAGAAGCGTCAAGCCAATCGCCCGTCCAATTCCCTCTGAAGCCGGCAAGTCACTTGCGTGCACCGGTCATCCGCTTGCTTTGTGGGCCCCGTAGCGATCCACGTAGCGTCCACAGTGGAATAGCGAACCAAAAACCAAGGATCACAGTCTTTAGTTGAAGATGTGAGGATTTGGAGGATGTGAGTTTATCTGTTGAAGCTAAAATCTAACAAGGTCCAATCCCAGTCGATTCATCGGATGCAGAGTGCGCAGATCCGGTGGATGTGTCCGGTGGTCAACCATTCTCGTCAGTTCCGGTTGACCATTGAACATCAGTCCAAAACAGAACTCCAAGCGCATCCATTCAACCAATCCGTTCTATGGGGTTACTCCACTAGCTTCTTTCTTTAGAGAGCAATTGTGGGACCGGACAGGACCTCCCATTGATGGCTGGTCGTCACAACATCGCGTTTCGCGCCTGGCCAGCCGAGAGGTCCTATGAAGTCTGGAAAGGCGCAAGCCTGGCAGCAAGGCAAAAAGGAAAGAATGAAATCAAACAAGAACAAGGACAGAACAACGCAGGAAATGCGCATGTTTAGAAACAAAAAGAACATGAACATACGCTTCCACTGGCAGCAACTTAGATGCTTTTGAAGCGACAAACCAAGAAACATTCAATGAAGGTTGAGACGTCACATGAAGAACGCTACTAGGAACAAGAAGCTACTAGGGGCTCCTGGCATCGCTACTAGGAGCAAGAACGCACTTGTCATGAAGAACCCAAAAGAACGCCCTGACCCAGGTGGCCACAAGCACTTGGGCGACCCATGCAACAAGCATCCCCCTGTCCGTCCATGGCGTTTGTGGCCTTTGTTCAAGGAGGAGGACTCATTGCCTTCCGATGAACCGAAGAGCACCTCATGACACTCAGAAAGCACAAAGAAAGCTTTCTTCCTAGTCTAAAGGGATAGAAAAACAACAAAGAAAAACACACGCCGAGACAGCAGGTCGGTGGGTTTTCATGTATGTATTTCTAGTAGATGTGTCTCCAAATGAGACCCCGCCCAAGAGTATGTCTGGTCTTGGGTATTCAAACCCTCCTACCCTCAGATGGATCCACTGAGAACCTATCCCCACAAGATGGCACAGAAAATACTCCAAAGACCCCAACACCTTGATGCCTTTCTCGTTCAGCCAGCTCTCTTCCGACGTTGGGTCGTCCTACTCAGTCCACCTTGGTGTAAGGGGATTATGTGATGCACCTCTGACAACCAAAAGGAGGCGGCGCCGCATGGCAAATGGCCAGTGTAAACAAATGATTCTTGCGTCCTAATGCCTCGAGAAAGTCAAAGCAACATAGATTTATTGTAGCAGAAGTAGGTGTTTGAATTGATTCAGTCCATTCGCGTTTGCTTTTCTTTCCAAATATCAATGGTGTTTTGTGAGCGCGGATTCCTCTGGCCCAACGCTCGACACTCAGCCAAGCGACGCCAAACCTCAGTGAATCGTCGGGCTCTGGAGCTCAGAAACTGCCAATAGTAGCTTCTTGCTACTAGTTACTACGTAGTAGCGATGCCAGGAGCCCCTAGTAGCGTCCTTGCTCCTAGTAGCGATGCCAGTTGCTCCTAGTAGCTTCTTGCTACTAATAGCGACGGCCTCCAACCTAGTAGCTTGAATCCACCACGTAAGAATTACATCCAACGCGAAGAGATCTCGAACAGGACATACCGATCCTTTTGTCCAGAACGCCAAAAGAACCCAGTTTGCCGAGAGCTCCCATTTCCGGCCCCCTCTGGTTCAACTGACACTTAGGAGAACCCATAGTTGAAGAAGAAGAAGAAGAAGAAGCTACTCAGCTACTAGTAGCGATGCACTTGTTACTGGTAAAATGAACAAAATAGCCGGATTATTTTATCTCCTGACCTAAAGAAACACAAAACATGTACACCATACTGACAAGGAGTGTTCCTGAACCGTTTCAAAATAGTCATGATGATCCCCCAAGAGCAGGACGGTCTCACCACGTCATGTCTCCGAGGCGGGTTGGGCGCCCGAGCCAAGACGGTGGAATACAGGCCACCAGGTTTATGAAAAAGAAGCCTTCGTTGCGAGCACAGAATCCTTTTTTCCTATTCCGTAAGCTCATGTCCCTAATTAGTACCTACTAGCGATGGTCTCCAACCTAGTTGCTATGGCCTCCAACCTAATCGGATCAACCAAAAAGTACAAGGCTTCCATCTGACCAGTATTAACAAATATTCACAATGAGCCTCAATGAGCTGTTTAGAGGGCCTTTGCGTGGTGCTTCGTGGCATCACGAACCTTGGCTATGCCTTGCACCTTTACAGCCAGTGTTCAATCTATAGCATTCATTCGACATGAAAAAATAATAGGATATTAATATACAGTTAATATACAGTACTAGCATTAACCATATGCATCCCGTGCCAACTCACGTGACAGCGAGGGGCCTTTCACATAGCGGCAAAAGATCTTTTTGAGATCGCAAACTTCGACTTCCAACTTCTCATCCTCACGGCCGACAGGGGCATTGCTAGTAGGTTGGAGGCCATTCCTATTAGGTTGGCCATCGCTCGTGGGTCCGGGCTATCAGGGTGGGGTCAGGGTAGCTGTCGAACAATGGACGTTGGCCAACAGCGAATTCCTGCGAAAAACACATAATAATTAACTACTTCTTGGAATATCATGGCAGTTCACAACAAATGAGTCTGGCATGCCTTGTGACAACAAGGGCTCATCGCAAGTACACTCACCCGTACATTCCGGCTCCATGAATAGCAGGTGAATGTGAATGCGACCCGAAATAGACATCCATCAAAAGCATATGGTGGATTGATCGAAGTGAAACTGAAAGAGCAAAATAAATACAGTCCTTTCAGCAAACAACAAAAATAGTAATTCCACGGACAGCCGAGTCGTTTGTTACATATTTGGGTCTGTTGTGCCATAAAAGTTTCTTCTTCGTACGCCACGTATGCACAACGCTGTGGCAAGCAAACAAAAACACATTCGGTGAACATCCACCGAGTAGGAGGTGACTCTGGGACTGACTTTGAGATATTCTGGGTATAAAAAAAAAGGATTGCTTACTACAAGCAGTTCCCGGCAAGCCGGCGGCGGAAGTTTCCCATAAAAACAATTTGACCTATAGGAGTGTCCCTGTGCACATGCCCTGCGGACCCCGTGTTTTCCTGGCCGCAACGATGGCGTCATGCAAGCAGCCCACAACGTGGCACCGTGCATGCGGGTCACACCACCGCACGTTGGAGTGAATGTAGTTACACAGGACTCCGAATTTGCACGTACAACTTGTCATCTACATTTCGTGGCAGGCACAGCACTTTGTGAACCTCGAAGTGCAGATTTCGTGGCAGGCGCAGCATTGGTGAACCTCGAAGTGCAGATTTCGTGGCAGGCGCAGTACTTTGTGAACTGGCCAGTTTGTGGTGCAAATGTCGTGCGGGAAAGAGCTTTTCGGAGCTGGACTCAGAAGTGGCCAGTTTGTAGTGCAAATGTAGGGCGGGAAAGAGGCTTTCGGGGCTGGACTCAGAAGTGGACTCAGAAGTGTTTGCTTTTAGTGTGTGACAGACGGTGTGGCGAAATTACGTCCGTGATGTCGCTGTGCCATGCGGATTTGCGCGGCCTTGGTGGAAAGTGCGTCTGCGTGGCACCGTGCCATTGGGCAGCGCGAAACATGCTGGCGTAAACGCCGCGTGTCGCTGGTGAGCAGGAAGATTGGTGGTATCATGTGGTATGTTTGCGTCTATTAGGCTTCTATAGTGTGTGGCAGACCGTGTGGTGAAATTACGTTCGTGATGTCGCAGTGCCATGCGGATTTGCACAGCCTTGGTGGGAAGTGCGTTTGCGTGGCGCCGTGCCACTGGGGAGCGCAAAACATGCTGGTGAAAACGCGGCGTGTCGCTGGTGAGTGGGATGATGGGTGGTATCATGTGATATGTTTGCTTCCATAGTGTGTGGCGGACGGTGTGGCGAAATTATGTTCGTGATGTCGCAGTGCCATGCGGATTTGCACGGCCTTGGTGGGAAGTGCGTTTGCGTTTCGCCGTGACACTGGGGAGCGCAAAGAATGCTGGTGTAAACGCGGCGTGTCGTTGGTGAGCGGGATGATTGGTAGTTACCGACAAACGGTTCATCCCTCAGTTTCGTTTTCGTTTGCAACCCTTTCGGTATAATGCTTACTCCTACTATGCTTTCGGGCCACCCTGTCGTCTAGTTTGTCAACAGGTCAGCTTGTACTTATGGTTGAAGATTCTGGCACAGTTCATACTTACAGTCTTTGGTTGCATTCATTGGTTTGACTCTGGTTGCGCATCTGCACTTTGAGGCGCACCACAAGTGGTGTGCCTGCCACGAAATCTGCACTGCGAGGTTCACCAAGTGCTGCGCCTGCCACGAAGAGGTTCACCAAGCGCTGTACCTGCCACGAAATCGAGGTTCACCACATGCGCCTGCCACGAAATCTGCAAACGAGCCACATGCCCAAAAGTCACGATTCGCACCTGTCACGAAATCTGGGCTCCTCGACGATCACCACCATGTCCAAAGTGCTGCGCCTGCCACGAAAACTGCATTTCGAAGTAAAACAGCTCCGATCCCTTGCGCCTGTCACGAAAAGTCGACTGTCAAGCACCAAAACACGAGGTTTCCCCAGCGCCTGCCACGCAAAGTGACCACCATGTGCGAAAATGCACACGGCACCACAACGAGAGCGCAGTCGTTAGAAGCACCCGCCCGGGCCGGGGCACCCAGACGGTGTGAGCCTGCGCAGTCGAAATGCACTTTAGACAAGTGAAAACTCTAGTTACAATGCACGAGCATGACGCGAGGCCATTCCGCAACCGTCGTTCCGCAGAGCTAGCCTTTGCCAGGTTCGGAACCATCCTTTGTATTGAAAAACACAGCATGTCGTGCGTCCGCTATCTCTCGAACACGCATTTTGTACGAGACTTTCTTCCAAAGTGCATGTTGAAGAGCTGACCAGAGCTACAGCTGACTGGAGTTAGAGCTAAGTAGAGCTAGAGCTGACTGGAGGAGTAGTAGTAGTGGTATGGTGGCGGTGGTGGTGGTGGTCGTAGTAGTAGTAGTAGTTGTTGTTGTTGTAGTAGTAGTTGTTGTTGTTGTCGTTGTCGTTGTGGTTGTCGTGGTCGTGGTCGTCGTGGTCGTGGTCGTCGTGGTCGTGGTCGTCGTGGTCGTGGTCGTCGTGGTGGTCGTCGTCGTGGTCGTCGTCCTGGTTGTCGTCGTGGTCGTCGTCGTGGTCGTCGTCGTGGTCGTGGTCGTGGTCGTGGTGGTGGTGGTGGTGGTGGTGCTCGTCGTCGTCGTCGTCGTCGTCGTCGTCGTTGTTGTGGTTGTGGCTGTGGTTGTTGTTGTTGTTGTCGTGGTTGTGGTTGTGGTTGTGGTTGTGGTTGTGGTTGTTGTTGTTGTTGTGTGTTGTGTGTTGTATGTTGTATGTCGTCGTAGGGAGTAGTAGTAGTAGTAGTAGTAGTAGTAGTAATAATAGTAGTAGTTGTATGTTGTATGTTTGTCGTCGTAGTGCTAGTAGTAGCTTTTGAAAGTCCGTAACACAGAAGTTTTGCACATTAAACTTCCTTTGATTATATATAACTGCTTCCTTCCATCTTCCATGAACAGCAGGACCAAGTGATTTCTCACTGTTTTATCAGTGCTTTCGTACCCTCCTTCACACCCTCCAGGAGGGTCCACTGTTGTTCACACATCCCTCTCTCCTTGTAGCTAAAGACGAAGATCAGGAACCTCCGAAGAGACGTGTTCGGCGGAAAAAACAAAAAACACCGGACAAAATGATGAATTCGGTTGAAGGAAGAATTCCAGCGAGTGGGGAGGGAGGGAGGGAGGGAGGAGCTGGGCAAATACAGCAATTTTTTAGAGCTTTGGGGTGACGATTTCTTTTCATGATTCGAACAATCTGTTGACAGTCTAGAATGCCTGGAGTAGGATCCTCAAAAAATATTTATTTCAATTTGAGATCCCTGGAATCTAGAGGGCCTCTAGGATCCGGATGCAGAGCAACAATCCATTGAGTCCCTCCCAAAACTGAAGCTGAGGGATGTCGCACTGTCCTGAAACGGCACATCTCACGATGGAAACCACTTTCAAACATAGCTTCTATAGGTTGGAGGCCATCGCTATTAGGTTGGAGGCCATTGCTGTTATATAGGTGGAGGCCATCGTCAGTAATGTAGTCCCTTGATTAATAACCCCCCCCCCTGAAAAGTAGAGCCTACCTGTACAGGGTTCCACTCCAACAGCTGATATAGTGTGTCCATGCTTGACTGCTTCAAGGCTCAAGAAGAGAGGGTCAATGGACCTAATAGGATAAGACTCTGCGTGAGCAAAAGACACTAGCGGTCTGCACCTCTACCGTGTACGCCCTAGTCACTCTTTCAGTGGTAGCGGAGCAGTGATCCTGGAAGACCCAGGTGAGCTCCTTTCCTAGGCATAGAATTGCTTGTGGGCAAACGGCCATGGATTGGATTGACGACTGGGAAGAGCCTGATGCGGATGTGGCTTATGAGCCAGCAGCCTACGTGAATAGGCATGTGAGAAGAGAACCAGCAGCAATAGCAATGACAACACAGGTCACTACAAAGGTGCCCCCATCTTATGATGGAAAGACTTCATGGTTTTCCTATGAGGATGCCATAGACGATTGGTGTGATATCACCGAGCTGGAAGATGAGAAGAGAGGACCAGCTTTGAGAAACAGATTAGAAGGAGAAGCAGCAGTATACAAACGTGTATTAGACAGAGATTCATTGAAGGCTAATGAGCCACCAGGAGCAGGAGTAGATTACTTCAAAAGAGTACTACGACCATATTTCGTGAAAGGATCAACCAATGTATTCCTATACAGGTTTATGCAATTCGTGCGATTCAATCGAGGATCAGCCGACATGATGAAATGGATGACAAGATTCCAGATTTTACTCCAAAGGCTTATGAGCAGTTGGATGGACATGTTAGAACCAGTCACTCAAGCGCATCCCCAAGTCCTTGCTCAGATGCAGGCAGATGCAGCGTTGACTGGAGTAGCACCAACGGCAGAAAGGATTCAGGAAATCATGCAGAATGTCAATGGCAATATGAGAATTCTTCATCAGAATGATTTTCCTTTAGGAGAGAATCTCATTGCCCTACTCATGCTGTCCCTCGCAGATTTGTCTCAGGACCAGCGAAACACTTTGACTTCGTTGATGACTCATCGTGGCAGGTACCTGCAGCAATACACCACAACAGAGTTGAGGACAGTGTTCATCGAGATGTTCTGCACGACAAAGACTTCAGTAGACAATCCATTGATGCAGCCTACAGGTGCTGGAGGTAGAAGATCATTTCTCGTACTAGACGAAGGAGAACTCGATGGTACATTTGGCTATTGGGCCGAAGATGAAGAAGATGGAACAGAAGGATTTTTAGATGCCCTGGACGATGTCTTTTGGGTATATGATGATCAAAACTTCTCATGGTTCCAAAGGAGATTTCAAGGAAGAAGAGCCAGAAAAGGCAAAGGAAAAGGAAGAAGAAAAGGAAAAGGAAAAGGAAGATCAGGCCGCAGATTCTTCAGACCTCGTGGAAAAGGAAAAGGAAAGAGACGAGGTAAGGGCCATTTTGCTGATGAGCAACAGACAACTTTTCCAGATGAATACCTTGAAGAGAATCCTTATGAGGACACTTGGGAGTCAACCCAAGGAGCATATGATGCCATTCTTGCCGAGGATATGAATGACTATCTTCAAGGAGAATATGATGATGCCAATGACTTTTGGCAACAGCTTGAAGAAGCATGGTTTTCCCACAAAGGAAAAGGAAAAGGCAAGAGAAAAGGCAAGAAAGGAAAAGGAAAAGATAAAGGAGATGGCAAACAAGATGCAAACTATGCAAATCAACAACAGCCACGTTCTTTACCTGCACCTTCAAGAACTTCACAAGCATCAGGGGGTCAACAAGGTTTCTTTGCACATTGTGTGACAGCAGCAGCTGAAGTCCATGACAGTGAGGTGGACTTGCTGTCAGGCATGATGACCTCATGCCAAGATGAAGCTGACTGCGTGGTCAACAATGGTGAGACGATCTTCGATGACATGAGTGCCCCTGTGAGGTACTCTTTGTCAAAGGAGATGCTCACAAAGGCTCCTGATGGCTTTGCGCTTATGAGCGCTGATGGCTTTGCGCTTATGAGCGCTGAGGAAGAAGTGAAGGAGATGCAGGCCATTTCATTTTTGACTGAGAATCGCTTCCCGCCAACTATTGCAATCCTGGACATTGGATGCACTAGAGCTATGGGATCAAGGCGAGCAGTCGACCATTTTTGCAACTATGTCGACAATCACCCAGATTGTGGATTATGGTACTC